GCCTCTTTCCAAGCACTGATGCCGGGTTAAAGTGGAGTGTTTTGATCTCATAAAGTACCCATCTTCAAAGAACCATCCCAGAACAAGTTCATTATTTCCATCTGGAAAAGAGCAAATCAAAAGTTATTTCTCTAAACAAACACAACTCATTAGTTCCCTTTCAGCATATAACTTCAGGTCCAAGGTTTTTGCTCTTTTTGGTGATTATTTTTCCATGTGTCTGTTCCTTCACATGTGTACTAATTTTATATATGTAAATTAGGATTTGTGAGAAGTGATGACAGGAAAAGAAGGAGTCTGTGGTCTCTTGCACACACAAGGATTTCTAGGGTGGGATTAAGTTTAACATTACAGTTCCTAAATGATCCTTTAGTGAATCAATAAGGCTTCAGTTGTTTTTTACTGGTATCAAAATACTTGGACATAACATTTTACAATTTTTAAGCCTGGTTACCTCAACTTTAAAAAAAGGGGAAAGCTAGAAATCTCTCCAAAAGTGAATGGAGGTCCAAAGAACTACAAAAGTAAATGCCTGTCAGGACTGGCCAGTGCTGCATTATTTTGTAAAGGACACTGCACAATCAATGGTGTCTGCCTGTAGCTTGTTTGGCATGAGAAACCTATTGATTAGTTAAAAGCTCCGTTCCCCACCACAAACCAGGCAGAAACAGCCTAAACCTCAAAGGAGAGTGACCAGAGTAGGTGCATCTGAGGCAGTGGCCAGCCCTTTCCAGGTGGCCAGGCTGGGAGGAGAGGGAGGGCTGTGTCCCAGCTGCACGGGGCTGCAGGAATTTGGGGTGAGGAGGTTAATGACCCAGCATTGCTGCCCTGTACTCCATTGTACCAGGCCTCTGCTGAACTCTGGATGGGGAACATCTTTCCTACAAACAGCTCTCCCCGCCTCTTCCAAAACCTCATCCTAATCCCAGCCCATCAGCTTTTGTATGAACTGAGCACTTTTTGCAGTAGTTGAGCCGTAGGGTTTCTGATTCCAGTCAATGTTCATTCAAGAGGTTTGTTTTTTGTGAGGAAGAAAAAAAATAGAAAAAGTTGGAAAAAGAGGGAACAACTATATTATTAATGCAAATCTTAAGTGAAATCCATTCTCTCCGTAATTTCTCCTGAAGTTTTTGACATCACAGTTATGATAAATAAGGTTTCTTGGCTGTTAGGTGCAGCTTTTATTTCTGCACTAATATACAGGCAGCATGTTGCTAATGGTACTCAAGACATTCTTTAAACTGCTTATCAAGGCGACTTGCTTTCTTGGAGATTCTGTATGAAAAACAGTTCAGTGCCACCTCAAATTCATTGCTTGATTCAAAACTGATACTTCAGCATTTTACATGTTTTAAGGGGCTTCATAATTGGACAACATGTTTAATTTTTAATATATTTTAATAATAGGTCACCTTTTCCTTATAACAGGATTATTTTACAGATGAAAACAGAGTACTGAAAAAGGACCCTCAGCAGGATTACCATCTGGAGTATGCCATGGAAAACAGTACACACACAATATTGGCTTTTAGCAGAGAGCTGCACACTTGTGACACAAATGACAAGAGCATAACGGTAAGAGGCTCTGACTATACATAGACAGATGAAGTGATTAATACAGGTCAAATGTGTTATGTGGTTATTAATCCAGTTATTAAAATCTCTTAAATTAACCAGGTGAAATACTTGGGCTGGTTTGTTAAGCTCTTACGTTTTAATTTCAGCTTTCTTTATCCTTCTGCTTTATTACATTACGTTCTATAATTTCTAACACACCAAGTGTAAACAGGATTGAACAGGCATCTCTGAGCCACAAGTCCCATATGCCACAGTTACAATCATTCAAGAGATGCCAAATTGAGAAACACTTTTTATATCTTGCACTAACTTGAAACTGCTCTTAGAGACACAGTTTTTAAAGTTTGGAGCAGATATATTTAAAATATATATTTTTATTTCTTGATTCAAAATTAAGAAGTTGAAGAATTTTATTGTAAAACTTTTTATGGTAAAATACTTTTCATGGTAAATTCTTTTATTGCCCTAGGGACTGCTGTGCTATTTCCTAAGCGTAATTTTAAATTGCATGAAGTTGGTGACTTCTGTATTGGAAATGACAGATAGGTTAGAGAGATTTGCAAGGCTTTTTATGCTTTGGCCTGTTTACTACTTATTTTGGAAGCATTGCCACAGGAGTACAACGCTATTTTCATTATCTGAGTTTTCACAAGATACACAATAATAACAGCATGAGGGGATGAAAGATGCAGGAAGCAAACCACAGTTGTATAAACCTCCAGTTTTCCAGGCAGTCAATGGATATATGGTTTTCACACCTGCTCCAAATTCTCAGTATCAATTAACATTCTGGGACACTTCAGGATTTATTAGAGCACTATGTCTCAAGGGTGATTATTGCAATCTGAGAATGGTTTACAGAGAATTGAACTGTGCTGTGGCTCTAGATTGCTTTTTAAGAAACAAATCTGTTCTGTAATTGAATGTCTATCTTCCCTAGGATGTAAGCACAGTGTTTCACTGAAGGTGTTCACATCTTCACAATACTGAGCCTGGAAAATGTTTTAGGGGGAAACCTTCTGGTTGCTGGCCAAATAACATCTCTAGAAAAATGTTTATCATGCATTTAGTTGGTTATGTCTTTATGAGTCTGTTCTGCCATTTGTGGATATGATTTACATTTACAACATCAGTGAAAGAATCTCTCAGAGAAAGATTTAACTTCTGCATATCTCCAATGAACCCTCTGAATATAAGACATTACTAATTTTAAAGGCAAAATTGTGTAAGTAGATGTCTCTCCTCTGGTATACATTGCCATTGTTCAAAACCAGCTATGCCTACATCATAGCTATTGTAGGAATTATGTGAGCTATGTAAGGAAGATGACTTTTTGGCTTGGTTTGTTCGATTTTTTCTTCAGGAGAGCACAGTGCGGGTAATATGGGCCTACCACCACAAAGACTTGGGAGAAGCAGGTCAAAATTACCATGGATCTAATCGTGGTACAAAGAGTCTACGTTTGCTGAATCCTGAGAAAGAAGAAGTCTTATCTGCCTCTTTGCCATACTTTGACTTGACAAACAAAGACGTAAGTTACTTCATGTTTTGGTTTATGTCGAGATGGGAATAAGGCAGTAGCCAAAACTTAGTGCTTACACAACATGTAGTGTGACTTTCATATAGAGATCAAATGTCAGGAGGAAATTCTTCACTATGAGGGTGATGAGGCACTGGAAGAAGTTGTGGATGCCTCATCCCTGGAAGTGTTCAAGATCAGGCTGGATGGGGCTTTCAGCAACCTGGTATAGTGGAAAGTCTCCCTGTCCATGTCAGTGGGACTGGAACTAGACGGTCTTTAAGGCCCCTTCCAATCCAAACCATTCTGTGATTCTATGATAATATTGTGTTCTTGCCCTTTTTATTAAGACAGGTGCCTGTACCAGACAAGGATACAACATATTGGTGCCAAATGTTTAAGATTCCCATACAACATGAAAAGCATCATGTAACAAAGGTGAGTGATTAGGACTGAGCAGATTTAGAGGAACTCAGATAATAATTTCACTTCAAATTCTTGCTCTTTCAAATTTTTTTTCACTGCTTACTGAAGGGAAAACAAGACCTCTTGTCTGTCTTCACAAACATGGGTCAAGTGTATGTGTATGTGTGCCCAGCACTTGATTCTGGTGTGTGCTGACAACTGGCATGCACAGTGAGAGAGTCCCTTTCTTTTCCTTTCTCTTCTCCTTCATCCTGTCTCCCTTAAGCAAATGAGGTTGAAAATTATTTCTGTCTGTAAATATTTCTGGCAAAGACTAAGCAAAATAGTTACATCAAGTTTCTACTTTTTTAAAGGAATTTATTGAATTTATTTTGTCAGATAATAATTTTAGATTAAAAAAGTAATTAAATAGTGACATTTGTTCAAGTAAAGGGCCAGGTTCATATTTGATTCCAGTCACCTCTCTTGCAATGACCACCATGGAGTTATGCCAGTTTACTTCATGTAAGCACAGACGTCATTATATTCAGCTGTGTAAAAGCCAAATATTATGAAAAAAAGAGGTGAACATTGTAGTTCATTAAAAAAATTAATGAAAATGTGTGTGCAAACATTCACATAAGGTTCAACAGGATCCTAGGTGATTTCAAAATCCACATGCATTAATATGTTTTCCTATAACATGTTTTCTAACTTTTCTTCCAGTTTGAAATTGAAAGCTTAAGAGTGCTGAGGGAAAGATGGTTCTCACATTTCTTCCCAGGAGCAATATGCTGAAGACCTCATAAAAGAACAACTTCTGATTGTTCTAAAATGCTTAAGATAGCGCAGTGAGATAGTTCTGGCCCTCATTTTTATCTTTCTTTGAACCTATGAATACTTTAAGTATGCAGTTCTATTCCATTTTTTGATCATTGTCAGTCATGTTTCTCCAGTGTGTTCAATAAGAGTGAAATTTTAAATTAACTCAGAAACTTAAAATGTGATCTCCAGTGTATGTCTGATAAATACCTATGATTATTCTGAAGTATTGTGAGTTTCTGCACTTTATCAGGATGAACAATTGCAAGACCCAAATTTCTGTCTTCAGGCAGTTGATCTTAAATCACATTTGGAGTTTATGACAGCTACTTTTATAGCTCTGTATGAAAAGGAGGATTTGCTTGTATTACAGTATATGTGACAAGATTCCTAGCTTTCTGCTTTCAAGTGAGAGAGCTTCAAAATGGTAGAATGAGGATGATGCTTTCTGTGTCAAGTTTGGTGGAAGTCATAGATACATGTTGTTCTGCTAAAACATTATCTGGAAGTATTCATTATTTATAATTTCTGAATTTGTTTTTTAACGGTTTTGTTTGACTGCACATACAGTTGCTCATTTTTATAAAAAATTGTGGTTGGTTAAAGCTAAAACAAGATTTTAGCTCAGAAATACACTGACTAAATTTTCAGAATAGTTTTATATTCTTTACTTTTACAATCATGTATGACTAATATTGTAACTTTGGAAATTATGTCTTGAAATCAACAAATTTTATAAGGTTAAGAATTGGAGTAGAATTCTCGGTGATTTTTCACCTTTAGAAAGGCAAGCAAATTTCATACTGCTGCTTTAAAAATGTTTAGAGAGAGAAAAATATTTAAAGAAAGAAACAAGAATTATGTAGGAACACTTCCTTAGCCTTTGTTTTCAGGGACACAACCTGTATTTTTATATGTGATTTTTTTAGATGACACACAGAGGGTTGTTGCAGAATTGTATCTATGCACTCTGCAAACTGATTAAACATTTCCTAAAGCCTGCTGATACACAAAGGATGGGGCTTATGGCTACTCAGGAGGATATTAGCTATACAAACAAAGATTGAATTTCACAAAAGGGAGGACAGATGAACTATTTGGCCTGACCAAACTGACTGTGTTAGTTAAATACTTATATAGATGTTGATTCTGGATTCCTTATGTAGCACAGTTTTCACATAAACCTACACATCTAATTTTTACAGGCAGAAAAAAAAAAGTTTAGCAATAGCACAATTTTGTCTCCAGTATAATTTAGTCTACCTAAGTAGTGAGCTGCCTTTGACCGTTTCTGTCCTCCTGTATGATTTTGTGGAGCACTGAAGTGCATAGTTCAGCCCTTGTTGGACAATGTGTGCCATCAACAGTGTGTGCTTAGCTGTGTGAATGTGTAAATCTGCTGGTGGTCTGGAGCCTCAAGTAGGTGCAAGAGCCACAATAAGAATTTGTTCATACTATTCAGCTGTTCTCTGTCATTCCTTCCTTCTTGAAAAATTAATCTGAGCATTTTATAATAATGTATTTTTTAAAGTATCAGTTTCATCAGGAAAGCATTATGTTTTGGTGAAGGAAACTGTGAAAAAAAATTAGACCTGTCATTAAAGTAGAGGCCAAGACTTTTAATCATCTCTAGTTAATTAATTCCAGATTCTGAATTCATATTTTGAATGTAAAAGCATTTTTGATTTCTATTAACCATGAATTATTTTTTTTAAAAAAGAGTAACTATATGTTTTTAGTCAGAATATATTTAAGGTATTTGCAAATGTATTTTGTAAATACAATCCAGTGGTGCAACAGCTGATAACACTTGCTCTTAGGGTTCACCTACAGTAGTGTTTTAGTTTGTTCTGTTGGCATACTAAAAGAAATAACTAGCATAAGAGATCTCAAAATTAGTCAAAGGTAAATGATGTGAGACCTTAGGTCTTTTCTTTCCCTTTACATAATATTCATGCTCCTTTCCAAGAATCTCAGGTAATGGGAAGCAGCATAATTTCGTTGACTGTTCTTGATCAAGCTGCACTACATGGCATGTAAATCATGCAAGAGATAAGACTGTAATCTTGTGTTCATTTCATAGGTAGCATAAGGACATGGATAAGTAATTTCTGCTTATGGTGCCAATGGAGAACAGAGCTTCAATAAGGGGGTACTCAGCCAGGGTTAGGACTTCTCCGTTTAATCTTCCTTTGTTTCACATCTCTTGCAACTTTTTCCCTAGGGAAGAGATCGTGTCTTCCTACATGTCCCTACAATGCTTTCTTTTACAAGATCTTTTCTAATGCCTCCAGGAACTCCTAGAGAGATAACTCCTAATAACATTATGGCTGCTAAGAAGTAAAACAGAATAAGATAATTTCTCAATAGTTGGGCATTATAGTGATAATAATTACCCAGGTCACAATCAAAACCAGGCACCAGACTGTTTTTGTGACTCTAACGGTGTACATCACTCCTCATCTTCAAGCTGCCTAACTGGCTGAAATTTCTTACACTTCTACAGATTCTCCTGCTGTATGTTTTCTGTTAGCAGAACCAGTTATTGCATTAATAGGTCAATTTTGAAAATAACAATATGCAGAACTTACAAAAGGGATTGCTTGGAGGTAATAGCAGGCAACCATTTTTCTTCAAATCAGCTATTTGCAGTGTGGCTCCACAGTGGTCCTGTGGTGGTGGATCTTAGTTGCTCTTCACATGGGAGAGCACATGGCTGCCTGTCTGCAATCTCCTGCAGCTATGGGTGCATTGGCCTGTTTTGCTGCTTTGAGCTTCAGGCTGTGGTATGTGCCTCAGGCTTACTACCGGAGGGATTTTTACTTTTCTCACACACAGTGAGCTTTCTCAGAAGTAGCTTTCTTAGAAAAAATCATTCCACTTATTAGGCCTGACTTTCCAGAGATGGGTTTAAGGCTATGTCTCGCTAGGATCTTTGCAGTTCTCTATAAGTATCAGTATTCTGACTAGTCCTGAATGTACTTCTTAATGGCAACCCTAAAGATAGTTCTTTGATTGCACAGACTGCACCTCAGGAAGGACCTCTGTTCCAGCAGGACCTCTCAGAGAAGGGAGAGACCCACTGGTAGAGGAGACACACAGGCATGTCCATGCACACACCACTGCATGAAAAGGTCTCTGTATCCCTGCTGAAGCCATTCTGAGGGCAGTGCCCTGGGTGTGGAGAGCCCTCAAAGGCAAAGACCCCAGAACACCAGGACTGAAAGGGGCCATGGCAGAGACAGAGGTGCTCACCCTGGGGAGCACACCCTGAAAAAGGGAGTCTCTGCAGCATCCTCCCTCTTGTAAATTACTTGTTTTAAAAGTCTCTTACTTATTGCTCCTTCAGTTAAAAAAAAAAAAGTTATTCAGTGGCAGCACACTGGAACTTCTGAAATCTTGTCATTTTTGTACTGTTGAGATGTCTGACTTTTCACTGCATGTGGATATGTGTTTGCTGATGTGTCTCCACTTTACCAGGTTGTAAGACTGTGTTTGCTGACATGTCTCTGTTTTAACAGGTTGTAAGACTATTTGCTGATATTTGGGGATTTTGCTACCTATTTGCTGAATTTATTTTTTGCTCATTATGAGGTGGCATCATGCAGATGTTTAATTTGTTTCATATTCATGAGAAATACTTTCCAGTGTTTTCAGTAAATACAGCTTTTGCTTTATGTTCAAAGCTTGTTCTTATTGCTCTTTCTACTTGTGGTTCTACACATACAACATTTTTTTATTGCTGTCTTTAGCTTAGGTTTCAATACTCCATGTTTTCTGTTACTTTAATTAAATTTTATTGCTTATTAATATAGCTGCATCTGCAAAAGATTCATTACTTTGACCTCACATTATCTGCAGGTCTCCCATGTGCTCATCTGTTTTTTTTCCACTGCAATTAAAAAAACCTTGAGATACAGTGTTTCCTCTACTGTCTCTAGATTTTCTGTGAATCCTCTATACCTGTGGTCTCCCACTCCACCTGACAAATTGTTTAATGCTGTGTGTAAACTGAAAATTTACAGTATATACTGCTGAAGGAATGGCATGTATATTCGGCATGCCAGACATGCCATAATCAATTTGTGTAAGGCTTTTCAGCTTCAGTGTATAGCATGTCTGTGCTAGTTCCAACACTCTGTAAATTTTCCCTCCATGTTTTCTTAATTTCTTTGAAACATACTGTGTTTTCCTCAGGGAAAGTAGTTGCT